CGCCCTTTTACATTAAGGTTTACTTCAAATTCCATTTTGTATATAGATGACTTAGGACCCCGGTACCCCATTTTCAATAATGAAAAATAAAGCTCAAATGAGAAACTTGTGACGTTTTGTTTATATTTTTCTTAATTTTTGTAGTTGTTTATTAAATAGTTGATGTTTTGTTTAATCGCGGTCAGCGCGACCAGGCGACTTCGAAAGGGACGGTGAAGTTAGAAGAGCACCTTAACGTGAAATCTGTGGAATATTTCAGGATTTTTCTCAAGGAAGGTAAGTTGTTTTTACAGATGTGGTCTTAAACGTACCTCACTGGGGTCATTTTCTACCTTATGACTGATTTGGAAGGAATGGGAAGAAAATAATTGCAAAACAGATCTACGTACGTTCGGCCGCGGCGCAGCCAATATGGGTACGTACAGTACATGTGCATAAGGACATGTACGTGCACGGTACGCTTTGCAGTGCATGCACATGTATATAATGTACATACATCATTTTGGGCGATGTCAGACAACTCGACCGTTTGCCAACTCGACTTCGGATAAATTGACCGTTGAAACAACTCAACCGTCCGTGCGTAAAAAGGAGAGACAAGTCGACCGTCAAGACAAGTCGTCTGTTGGGACAAGTCGTCCATCATTTTATAAACGCCTCGTCATTTGTTCAAATGTGTATAAGTTAAATATAAATGGAATTTCACGTTTACGTAGTCCCCAGTTCTGAGTTACTGTAATATGGCAATAAGTAATCTGTCTGTGATCTACCGCCGTACCAGTCTTATCGGGTGGGAAGCAATTTACCTATTGCAATTTCATTCCAAATCCCTGCTTCGTTTTACAACGGACGACTTCACCTTTTTACAACTTACAACGTACATACCATGTCTGCACCATCAGTGATCAAACACTTGTCACCTTTTACATGTAAATTGTATGTATTTTCTTCAGTCCTAGACACGATGGAGGAACCCTCATTGCCAAAACTATTGGTTGAAAATCCTTCAAGTTCAAACAGACGGGCTTCGCCGTAGGCCTACACAGTTTTGAAACTTAGCGCATTCATCGGATTTTCATAAGATTTAGTCGAAAATGAAAACCACCCGGCGTCCAGAAATTGGGTAGATATTGGACCAAGCGGGCCGCGAGTACCCGAACTGGACGAGGTTGCTGCGCCGTAGCTCCGCAGTTCTTCGACGCGTGCATGAGCCCTAGTCAGACTGAATCATGGCGCCGTCAAGCGGTGAGGCATTGTCTGAAATGAAATACCCTGCAGGCCAGGAGGCACACATTTAGTGTCAGAAGCTTGCACCCGCGCTGTCCTACCCACTCATTTGAATATTATTATGTGGATGCGGACCCCATTTGGGGTACCGGTCAACTCGGTGCGTGACCAACTCGGACGGAGTCAACTCGGTCCCAGGTCAACTCGATGCCAAGTCAACGGGGCGGGACATGATGGTCACGGTAGCCCGGCACTTTGCCCACAACTGCACAAGAATGATGACCAATGACTTCGGCAACGTCCAAAACAAGTTGTTTCAACAGGAAGCCTTTCTGTGAGTTAAGTTTTAAGAAATACAACATTTCATTGAATACATAACTGCAACTTTAGCGAAGTATGTGATATTTTGTGATAATACTGGTGAATCTGCCAAATGATACACACGCAATGCTGTACATGTACAGTGTGCACTTCAGATCCAGATGTTTAATGCTTCTTTTCTTGTTCATGTATACAGCTTGATGCACAGACACAGGCACAGATTGACTAAAATAAAATTAAAATAAAACAGAAATCAAGAGTGAGGTACATCCGACGTCTAGGTGATAATAATACATGTACGTGTGCCCACTTTGAACATGTAAATATACATGCACCCAATGTTTACTTCGACCTCAATTATTACTTGCACTTAGGTGTATCCAAGTGACACTAATACATGTACATGTATCTAAGTTCCCCTAAAAGAGTATGATGCCCAGTATTTAAGTTAGACAATACCAAACCCCTTAATTTTGACCATAGCTCCACTATGAAGGCCCCCATGTGCGTATCTGTATTATTTACCATTTACAATAAAGTATTCCACCGATGTAACAGCAGGACCTAACTGATCGAGTTTTGGCTTACACAAGAATATAAATAACCCAGTAATAACTTAATCAAATTCTTTAATTTAATATGAGAATCCTGAGAATAATGAGCTCTAACCGTTTAATAAACTTCGGCAGGATGGGCGAATCAAAATCTGTCAGATGCAAAACGTGATGGAGCCATCTTACAGTCAGTGCTGTTTTTATGGTCCCCAATTATAGCGCCCTCAATCGGTTGGAAATCAAAAAATGAGTTTGGCCGCTACAACTGGTTTTCCAGTATGTAGAATTTACATGGATAGTGTCCACTTTCTGGAGTCCTGTCAGCTGGCCAGCATACCGGCAGACCATCCGGACAAATGATGACGTTGAAGGGGGGCACCGCGCTCTCAACAGTGCTGCTCGGACCACATTGCTAGGGATTTACAAGTTTGCTCCTCTCCTTGCCAAGCAAGCCCAGCTTGTCTCTGTCCAGATTCGGCTGGTAAGCGAAAAGAAGCTGACCGGCCACCCCCCCCCCAAAAAAGAAAAGAAACATCAGTGGCTGCATGGTTGGCTTTTCCAGCTTGTGACGACTTGTACATTATTCCAGCTTTTCATGCACAGTCGTTTATTTTAGTAAGGCGTTGAAAGTTGAGCTTAGTACCGGGAACAACTTGTAATTTTCCCAACATTTCATGTACAATCATTTCTGTATTGATTTGTATTTCTTTGGCATCTTGTTTTTAGGAACGACTTGTAAATTGTTGCAGCTTTTCATGCAGTCGTTTATTCTATTATCGATTTGCATTTCTTTAAGTATGTTCTCCACACATCTGGCAATAGCAAATAGAAATGCATTTTGTTTCTTTACACTGAAACGGTGCTTTGATTGTTGACAGTTTTTATTCCCAGGAATATTATTTGTTTCAACTTACCCGGCAATAAAGTGTTCTTTGAAGATGTATGAAAAATGAATGAAGTCTGTTTTCATGCAATTGTTACGGTATAATTTCTTATATTGATTTTGTTAATTTCTGTCTTTGATAGGCTTATGGGGGTACGGAAAAGGAAACAAGACCACATAAATCATAAGCCATTATGTAATAGTATTATAGAAATTAGGATAGTATATGGTAGGCCCAACTCACTTATCTCTTCTCCTCCATGCTTAAAACCACACTGCGTCCATGTTGCGTGGGTACCGCGGAGTAGCGGCTGTCAACCGCGGCTCATTAATTTTATAAGCCTGATCTGGCAGCAGATCCATTAAAACATGCAACATGCCAGCAAATACGGGGTTCATTAGCACCCTGTTCCTATAATAAGAAAAAAGTCCACTTTCTCAAACTAGCATTTTAACCATAGGTTAAGGTAAATATTGATATTTAACGTAAGAAAACTTTAACCGCCATCTACGCCATGCATG